GTCACGACTAAATTTGAAAATAAAAATCACGTTCGACTTTTCAGCAAATTTTCAAAGCTCTCAATATCAAAGGTCTTCTATATCACGAAAAATTGGTCCATAGCTTCGAAACGCACGTTTGTAAGTTGTTACCAAATCTGTGCTACTTTCTTGTAAGTACAGCGTCTGGCAAAACCAAGCAGTTTGCTCCTGTAAGTACTAAGATGGTAACAAATTTTCACTGACAGTACTATCCTGTAGGAAGATTTGCTCCTTTTTACTAGTTACTGGCCAAGTGGAGTGTCCGTCTATCAGTTAGAACATTTTCTGCAAATCTCGAAAGACCACAAATTCCAAAAATACGATTACGGCACGCATAAAAATAAGGAAATTTATGGTACTGAAAACCCGCCAGTCTACAATTTAACCAACGTCCAATTTCCCGTATCCTTGTTCTATGGAACGCACGATGTCTTGTTTTTGCAAAAGGTGTGTGGTAATTATTTTCAACATTATCAAAAACACAAATTACAATGTTAATCATACGCTAAGTCTATATTTAGTCCTCAGCGTTGTAAAAACGCTATTAGAGATTACAAAATGTTTTAAATATTTTTTTTTAGAATATTGACCGATTATTTAACGAACTTGGCAGTAGTCAAAAGTACAAAATTTCTGTTCCGAGAAATGCGGGGCCAGAATACGGTTACTCGCACATCGACTTCCTTTGGTCAAAAAATCTACATAAATTTCTGTATGACGACGTTTTTGAAAACTTGGATTTGATTATTAATGGTAACTAAAGTGGTCGTTAGTGGTTCATTAAAAGTTAGATTTTTAAATCAGTTTGCTCTTTATTACTTAAATTACCCAAGCGTAGCTACTACTTTCATGTTTTGGCGACGTTTCATAGCCACTAGAGTACGAAAAAGTGGTCTCCCGTTTTTTTTTTTTTGAAGATTCCGAATGTTGTAAAGATTATAAAGATTCCAAAGGTTCCAGAAATTCCGGATGTTACGAGATTGTAGGCTTATCAGAGGTTGTCAAGATTCGAAAGATTCTGAAGTTTCTGAAGATTCTAAAGACAGTGGAAATTCTGAAGATTCTAAGGGTCCCGAGGATTCTGAATTTTTCTTAATAAATTCCAAAGATTCTGAAAATTCTGCAAAGATCAAATTTTCTAACAATTTTGAAGTTTCTGAAGAATTTAAAAATTATAAAAGTTTCAGTGTTTCACAAACACCAGAAATTTCAAAAATTCCGCATATACCGAGACTCTAGCTAGAGCTTCCAGACATTTCGAAACTCTAGAAATTCCAGATGTTCTAAAGATTCTGAAAATTCTAAAGTTACCAGAGATTCTAAGAATTCTGAACATTCTAAAGTGTTCGAAAATTTTGAAAATTCCGAGTACTTCGAATGCTGAAGATTGCAAAGAGGCTGAAAACTTTGAGTATTACGAAGATTCTGAAGATTATAAAAATTTCTAAGGTTCTAGAGATTTTAGAAATTTAAAAAATTCATGATATTCCGAGACTCTGGAGATTCCAGAAGTTTCAAGGATTCCAGATATTCCGGAATTCAAGAGATTCTAAAGATTCTTCTTCGATTTTCGAATTTTCAATTTTTCTATATTTCGATTTCTCCATTTCACAATATTTCCATTTCTGGATTTTTCGAAATTTGGATATTCGAATTTTTTTTTTCAAATTTTTGGTTTCTCAAGTTTTCGATTTCTCGACTTTCAATCCCTCGGATTTCGATATCTCGATTTTCGATTTCAGGATTTTCGAACTTTCAATTTTTCGTTTCATCAGTTTTTCAAATTTTCGATTTTCAAATTCTTTGGATTTTGCGATATTCGATCTTTTTTTCACTTTTCAAATTTTTGATTTCTCGATTTTCGTTTTTTCGCATTTTCGAGTTTTGAATTTTTATATTTCGATTTTTGATATTCGATCAATTTTTTACTTTTCGATTTTTCAGTTTTTCCATTCTTTGATTCGTCAATTGTTTCACTCTCCGAATTTTCGACTTTTCCTTTTTTCCCATTTTAGAAATTTTGAGTTTCCATTTTTTGAGTTTGCGATTTTTCGAATTTTTGATATTATAATTTTCAAATTTTTTCGATTATACGATTTTCGGTTTTTCAATTTTCGAATTTTCAATTTTTGTGTATTTCGATTTCTCGATTTTCCATTTTTTTGATTTCTGGATTTTTCGAAATTTCAATATTTAAAAAAATATTTCGATTTTTTGAATTTTTGATATTGGAATCTCTAATTTTTTCGATTTCCAATTTCTGGATTTCCAACTTTCAATTTCTAGGGATTCTAGAAATTCTAAAGATTCCGAAAATTCAGAAAATTTTGACAACTTCTGAAGATTCTAAAGATTCCGAATATTCCAAAGATTATAAAGATTCCAAAGATTCCAGAAATTGCAAATATTCCGAGTCTCCGAGTCTCTACGAATCCCAGAAATTGTGAGGATTCGAAAGATTCTGAAGATCCTAAAGATCCTAGAAATTCTGAAGATTTTACCAAAGATTCTGAAAACCTTGAAGTTCCAGAAGATCCTGAAGAATTATGAGGATTCCAAAGATGTCAAAGATTCCAAAGGTTCCAGAGATTCTAGAAATTTTGAAGAGTCGAAAGATTCTGAAGGTTCTAAAGATTCCGAAGATTCTGAAAACTCTGAAAAGATCAAAGTTTCTAACAATTTTGAAGTTCCTGAAGAATTTAAAAATTATAAAAATTCCAATATTTCACAAACTCCAGAAATTTCAAAAATTCCGGATATTCCGAGACTCGTAGAGTTTTCAGACATTTCGAGACTAGAAATTCCAGTAATTCTGAAGATTCCAAAAATTCTGAATACTGGAGATTCTAAAGAATCTGAAAATTCTAGAGATTCCAAAGATTCTAACAATTCTGAACATTGAAAGAGTTCGAAGATTCTGAAGATTCCGAGTAGTTCCAAGGCTGAAGATTACAAAAAGACTAAAGATTTTGAGTATTACGAAGATTGTGAAGATTACAAAAATTGAAAGCTTCTAGAGATTTCAAAAATTTAAAAATATCCCGTGGATTCCGAAATTTCTGAGTACTTCGCAGCTGAAGATTCCAAAAATCTGAGAACTTTGAACTTTCAGAAGATCCTGAAAAATTTGTGCAAGTATTCCAAATATGTCAAAGATTCCGAAGGTATCAGAGATTCTAGAAATTTTAAAGAATCGAGAGATTCTGAAGATTCTAAAGATTTCGAAGATTCTGAAAATTCGAAGAAACAACAATTTCTAACAACTTTGAAGAATTTAAAAATTATGAAAATTCGAATATTTCAGAATCTCCAGAAATTTCAAAAGTTCCGGATCTTCACAGATCTAGAGATTCCAGAAACTCTAAAGATTCCAAAGATTCTGACGACTGGAGATTCTAAAAATTTCCCAAGATTCTAACAATTCTGGACGTTCCAAAAAGATGAAAAATTCTGCAGATTCCCCGTAATTCGAAGGCTGAAGACTCCAAAAAGGCTGAAGATTATGATTATTACGAAAAAAAATTTTCAAAGGTTCCAGAGATTTCAGAAATTTTAAAAATTCCTGAAATTCCGAGACTCTAGAGACTCCAAAAGTTTCAAAGATTCCAGATATTCCGGAATTCTGTGATGATTCTTTTAAGTCTTCTTCGATGCTCCGAAGATTCCGAAGAGCACAAAGATTTCAAAAATTCAAAAATTCCAAAGTTTCTAGAGATTCTAGGGATTCTAAAGACTCTGAAGATACAAAAAATGTTGACTACTTCTGAAGATTTTAAAGATTTCGAAGATTCGAAGTATTTCAAAGGCTGGAGATTCCGAATATTCTAAAGATTATAAAAATTCCAAAGGTTCCTGAAATTCCGGATATTCCGAGTCTCTACGGATTCCAAAGATTATCAAGATTTGAAAGATGCTGAAGATTCTAACGATCCTAGAAATTCTGAAGATTCTGGACATTCTAAGGATTATTTAGTATTAGATTCCAATTCCAATTCAGAATGTTTCAGTCCCAGGGTCATAGTGTAAGTATTAAAAAAATTTTTCTTGATAATTTAGCTTCTCAGGAACACCAGTAAATGATTTTTTAAATTACACCTGAACGTGCTCGCTGCGCTCGCATTTTAAACTTGCCAAGTACCGAGAGAATTGACAAAATATTTTTCCAAAATTTTCAAAAAAAACCAAAAACTGTTAAAACGGCAGCAAAAAGGAAAAAATATTGTTTTATATAGAGGGGTTTTCATAGAATAATAATGCAATTTTTGCTCTACTTTTAAAATAACCTACAAAATTAGGAAAATAATTTCCAAAAGTTTTCCAAAAAACGCGATTTCCATTCCAAAGGAAACCCGACAAGCATCAGGTCACCGCTCCGACATATTTTTGATGTTTTTTTATTTCAATAAAAAAGTTTTGATTTACGAGAACAATAGTTGTAGTAAAAACGACTGACTATTATGATTAGGTAATAAAAATATCCCGACATTAAAATCCTTTATAAATTATATTTTAGATCAGCTAGTAGGCTAAAGATTATTTTCATTGTTTACAATAATCAGATTTACACCGCCTTTGCTTTGTTGCTAAGGCGTTATTATTGAAATTAGAATCAAACCGAATGTTGAACCGTTTCACCGTGTTGGCATCTTCCCGAGCAAAAACAACCAAAACCGTTTCGTCGACGAAGGTTTCAACATTTTTTTGTGCTGTGGGTGTGCGTTGCGTGTTGGAGAAAAAATAAATATTATTTGGGCAAAAGTTCCAACAAAAAAAAAAACAGGTAAAAGATCAGCTACGTCAAAAATTTGGGCACACGTCAAATTTGTCGCATTTTTTGACGTGACGTTTCTGGAATTGAACAATGGAATTGCACACAATTGTTTTATTACCGCCCATACAACTGACAACGGCTTGGAATAAAATATATAGTCATACGAATTTTTTTCCAGGTACACTACTCGTTCTTGACAAGTTTGTCCAAAATAAATCGGCTCTAGTTAGATGGTTTTTTTAAAGCGATTCTACTTCAAATTTTTAGTGTTACTTTTGGTCCACAGTGGGGTCGCGACGGACTTTGCCAACAATGCCTGCTACGATGTTAACTCTTACTACTTTTCCGCCTTTAACAGTGATTGTTACTACAACCCTGACATTTCGCCCGATAATAATCTCGTATGGGTTTTGGAAGTGAATCACGTCGAGTTGATGGTTCATATTTTAGATAACTATATCGAGTCGACATGGATATGACACCGAGACGTTTGATTTAAGAACAGACGATGGATATCACTTGGAATTGTACAGAATGTCGTCATGTAAAGTATCACGACAGAAAACAAAAGCTCCGGTCTTTTTTTTGTATGGATTATTATGTAACGTGGAATTTTGGGTGTGCACTGGAAACAAATCTTTTGGTATTGTTGCTAGTTTAAGTGAACTAAGTAAACTAATGGCTGGTAGCTTTCAATTTCGTAGACAAAGGTTATGATGTGTGGGTTGGAACCTTAAGAGGAAGTAAGGATACTAATAGACACGACGTCTTGACAGTTGAAGATTCCGAATACTGGAATTATAAGTAGTATATAGTTGTTTCATGATGGTTTGGCGTGTAAAGAAAAATTTTAGCTTGGATACTTTGGCTAATGAGGATCTGAGAATTCAACTCGAATTCGTTGCTACAATAACTGACCAAAAAGTATTTGTTGTGGGATATTCCATGGGTACTACTTTAACTTTCATGTTCGCCTCGGAACATTCTGACCGAGCTAGCCAATTAATCAAGGGTTTCATCGCATTAGCACCAGTGGTTTATCTAGACGACGTAGAATACACAAAGTCTGCAATACCTTGGGGTTTTCCATTAATCGTAAGTCACGACTAACAACCAAAATCAAAATCACTTTAGACTTTTCAGCAAATTTTGAAAGCTTGCAATATCAAAGGTCTTTTCTTTTACGAAACAATAATCCACGCCATTGACAAATACCTTTGTAAACTAGCACCACTAATATGTTACAATATTCTAACTATATCCTCTGGACCAACCAAGCAGCTTGCTCCTGTAAGTCAAATTCGTGTGTAGACCCGTTTTCACTGACAGTACTCCCCAGGAAAATTTGTTTGTTTTTCTCAGTTATTGGCCGAGCGGAGCGTCAATCTATCAGTTTGAACAGTATCTGCAATTCACAAAAGACGGAAAGTTCCAAAAATTTGACTACGGCGCAGACGAAAATACCGAAATTTATGGTACCGAAAATCCGCCTGTCTACGATTTGGGGAAAGTTCGATTTCCAGTGGGTCTGTTTTACGGAAAGCAAGACGTCTTGTATTTGGAAAAGGTCCGTGGGAATTCGCTTGAACACAACATCGTGATTTTTTTTTTTTTAGAACAACCAACGATTGCTTAATGAACTGGGTAGTCGTGAGAAGTTGGCAGTGTCTGTTCCCAGCAATGCAGGCGAAGAATTTGACTTTGCCCACATCGATTTCCTTTGGTCAAAACATATAGCGGAGTTTCTGTTTAACGACATTTTTAAAACATTGGACTTGTTTACTAAGAGTAACTAACGTGTGTCTGTGATCAAGTAAAAGCTGTATTTTTAAATATTTTTTTATTTTTAGCCAACAATGCTTTTTTATCAGAACAATAGTTGTAATAAAAAAAATTGACAAACCATCTATTATTACGAAACAATAAAAATTACTCGAAATTAAACGCTATCCTTTGTAAATTCGATTTCAAATGACGCATAGTCGGAAGATTACTTGTATTGTTTGTTAATAATAATAATAATAATTGATTTCAACAAGAAGAAATCCCAATTACAGGAATTGATTTGAAAAGCTTGTGAAGAGCCAAAAAAGATTATGTTCAACTTTATAGACACAGAAGGATTTTAGACATGTTTTAAGTATCTTGTTGTCGAAATAAGTCTACACATACTAAGAATAACCTGGCAAAACGTAGCCCCGCCCACCCGCCCTGTCTCAATTGTGATGATTTTTTTTATTCGTCGTGAGATAAGAGACCGGAACTTAACTGCAAAATCCTTATTTCTCTACGAGAAATGAATAAAAAAATTCATTACAATTGAGATGGGGTGGGTGGGCGGGGCTGATATTTTGCCTTTTTTCCTAATATACATAGTATTGTTTGAACAACACGATACTCAAAAACATGTTTTTAATTTCTTGTAACGAACTAAGCATTTTGCAGTCAAGGTTCGCCCCCCTGATTCAAGGCGAATAAAAAAAATCATCACAATTGAGACGGGGCGGGTGGGCGGGCTTATATTTTGCCTTTTTGTTTTAATATGTGTAGACTTCTTTTCACAATATGAAACTTAAAACATGTTTATAATGGAAAAGTGACGTTGGCGGGGAAAAAAAGGAAAATGAAGGAAACATTTGTTGTCTTCACATTTGTCCTTATGAAAAATAAATTAAATGTAATATATTTTTGTTTCCTTAAATATACAAAGTTAACAAAGTTAGTTGAGTTACAAAAGTCTTTTTTGCTCCACGTCGGCCACCAACGAGCGATTTTCAAGATTTCAGAACCCCCCAGGCCAGAGCGTCTGACGACATGGAGAATTCAGTCTCGGAACCAAAGAATGCACTGTTGCAAAATTAACACCCAAGCAAATGCACCGTCAAAACAAAGCATTTGCACCACTGGAGCTAAATTGGCAAGACCCAAGTTAAGTTAGTAACACATACAATATACAGTACAAAATGCTTCAATTACAAAAGTTACAATATACAAATTTCTCCACGTTTGCCGCCAAAGAGCGATGACTGTGATCGCTCGTTGCTGTTGCGCAGCAAGAACCAAACAATACGAGGAGGTCTGGAGTGCGTCTTGCCATTAAAAGAGAGGACTAGGGTTTGATAGCATGGGTGAAGGACACCGTTTTTGTAAATTTGGACGCCGTACTTTAAAAATGATGCATGCGGTATTTTGTGAATTATGAACGCAGTACTTTGTATATTCTAAAGCCGTACTTTATCAGTGCTGAATGCATGTTATTAATAACAAATTTCAAAAAAAATCAGGCATTTTTGGAAAAATATCCACTTTCCTTCGTGTCCACAGCACTTAAAACAACATTTTCGCTAATACTTATTAACGATAAATTAGAAATTCGCGAACACGTGCTACTTTTAAGCCAAAATGGAGCTCTGATGTTGCTGCCACCAAACCGAAATCAAACCTAAACACAGAGGACCAAAATGTGACCTTTTATCAGGTAGCTCACGTGACAGTGACGTCATCGTACGTCACGATGAGATTTCAAAAATTATTTTTCATATTTTAGCTCAGAAATTGTACATTTTCGGGGTTAATTTAACAATGTTTAAACAAACTAATTTGTTTTTGCTAACTTCGTATTCTTAGGAAAATGGATTTCGGTTTAATTATTATATAATAATAATAATAATAATAATGTTTATTAACGGATATATACCTTTACATAGAATTATAAATATACAATTACCTTTACATAGATTTATAAACTTACAATTACTTATAAATAAGCAAATATTAAAAAGAAGAGAAAACAACAAAAACAAAAAACTAACATTCTAAAATACGCTTTAAAGATGCCTTAAAAGAGTTTGCAGACCTAGATTTGAAAAAGTCAACCTGATCACAATATTTATTGCACGAACCAAGAATAGTATTCATTGGTGAAAATAACAAGTAATTAGTTTTAGCTTTGCTTATACTGAATAACGGAACTTTACGAGCATGGTATTGAGGCACATGGAATTTGACTAAACTAATGATTTCTGAAGCATCAATATAGTTATTTAACAATTTAAAAACAAAGTTGATAGCACTGTATTCTCTTCTAACTATAAGTGTTGACAATCCTAAGTAACTTAGATACGTCTGGTAATCACTAATCTGTAGGGGTAATTTGTACTGTAAGTATTTAATAAATTTTCGTTGTACTGCTTCAATTCTATCAATATGAAAATTGTAATGAGGTGCCCAGATGACGGATCCATATTCCAAATTTGATCTAACAAGCGATAGATATAGCTTTTTAAAAGTTTGAATATTGTGAAAATTTTTACTATATCTCTTGATGCAACCCAGAGTTTTATTGGCCTTGTTGGTTATATAATCATAATGTGGAATAAATGATAGCTTGTTATCCAATAATATGCCCAGATCTTTCACCAAAAATTTAATTGTTATCGGATAGTCATTTAAATTATACTGTGGGGGTGATGGGTCATTCTTCCGACTGAAATTTATTATGAAACACTTGTCACGATTTAGAAACATTTTGTTAGTTTTGCACCAGTTACTTAACGTGTCTATGTCAGATTGTAGTTCTTTCTGATCAGTAATGTTTGTGACTATTTTGAAGATTTTTAGATCGTCTGCGAATAGGCTAAATTTGCACTTAAATTTGTCCCCAATATCATTAATAAAAACTGAAAACAGTAATGGTCCCAGTATGGATCCCTGAGGTACCCCCGAAGGCACGCTCTGTACACATGAAAGACAATTTCCGATTTTCACTTGTTGCGTTCTGCCTGACAAGTAAGAAGAAAACCAGTCTAATAGACTGTCAGAAATTCCATAGGCTTTTAATTTTTGAATTAATAGTGAATGGTTTACTTTGTCGAAGGCTTTACTGAGATCAGTATAAACAGAATGTACTTCCAAACCCCTTCCCAACGCGTCGAGCACAGAATTGACATACACAAGTAGATTAGTAATTGTGGATCGCCTATAGAAAAAACCATGTTGTTCCACCACGATCACACTCTTAAAATGGGGAAATAGTTTGTTCCACATTATCTTTTCAAAAATCTTGCTTACACATGAGAGGATTGATACGGGTCTATAGTTTCTAATACAAGAAGCCGAGCCGGATTTGTGAATTGGTACAACATGACTAAGTTTCCACGATAATGGAAACATACTACTCTGAAGAGAGAGGTTGAATAAAATGTGTAGAGGCAGGGCTAAAGGTTCACAGCAGTTTTTAAAAAAAGAAGGTGGTAATCCATCAGGTCCAGGACCTTTGTTGGTCTTTAATTGATCAATAGAATTTTGAATATCGGCGACACTAATAGATAGGTTACTTAAACAAATAGACTGGTTACACTTGAAATCGGATTTTATGGCTCCGCTATTGTCATAAACAGATGAAAAATAATTCATGAATTCATCACACACATCTGATGGATTCTCTAGAGTTAATCCATTATGATACATAGGTAGAGGTAGACTATTGTGACTTTTACTTCGAATAAATTTCCAAAAGTTTTTTGGATTGACATTGAGATCGTTTTCCACATTGTTTAAATATAACTCATACGCTTCATTTATGTGTAGTTTGCATAACCTTCTAAGAGCATCAAAAGTCAAGTAATCAACTTTGTTATTTGTGTGTTTATATCGTTTATGCGCAATTTTTTTTTCTTTAATAAGTCTAATAATATCGCTGTTAAACCATTTGGGGTAGGTTTTAGTATGTTTATATTTAACCGGCACAAACATATTGATCACAGAGTGCAGATTAGCGTAGAAGATGCTGACGGCATCGTCCACATTAGAGCAGTTTAAAATCGTTAACCAATTAATACTGAATAAGGCCATACAGATTTCAGAGTAGTTTGCACGCTTAAAATCGTAATAGCTTTCCATTGTCCTAAACAATGGACTACCAAGACAGGTATCTATGTTAACTATAAAGGTGGGATGATAATGATCGAGCTTTGACATAGGCTCGCATGGTGATATTTCAACTCCATTACAGTTTGAAAAGCACAAGTCTAGAACTCCATTTTTGAAATTTTTGACATTATTAAACTGGTGAAAAAATAGATTGAAGTAATTGTCGCAAACATACGTCTCAGTTTCACTTGAAATTTTAGTAGGAAGCAGACCATCAAAATCAGGTACCTGCATCCATTCAATATTACTTAAGTTAAAGTCGCCTATCACTAAAATATCACAGTTAGAATGAATAGCGCATATGCTTTGCAGAGATTGAACATGATCAGAATATTTTAACAATACGGAATTAGGTGGAATATAAACACAGCCGATAATGAGATCCTTATTAGGAAGTGAAACTTTTACCCAAATTTCTTCAACGTGGGAATTAACACAAGTCAATTGCATGGAGTTGAACTTCTTGTTGATTGCCAACAGGACGCCACCACCTTTTTGTTTATTACTGTTTTCACTGTTTCTATCATTTCTGTACACTATGTATCTACTGTCAAGAACTTCATTGCTTTGGATTTCCGGAGATAACCACGTTTCACTTAATGCTAGGGCACAATAATTTTCGCTTAAAACAGCACAATATAGATCCTTCAGTTTGCTTCTGATGCCTCTTGTGTTTTGGTAATAAACTGAGAAAGTGCTGTTTCCTTCTGCTGAGTTTTGTTCATTTGTGCATTCCCCCCGGTTATTGTTTCTTTTTTCTTTCCTGATAAAAAATGGAACTTCTTAATTACAATACCAGTTGGCCATATTTCTTCCTTCATGAGAGAAGTGTACAACTCACTAGCGACTGAAATCTGGAAAGCTTTACTTTTAGCGTTCTCACGTTTGGGTAGAGCTTTAATGATAACTTCTTCATTAGGAAACCTGCCTTTTAAATAGTCAACCAAATCTTCACATCTAACATTTAGTTCCACATTGCCAAT